AATGGCGACTGCTGGTGCCATCGGGAGTCTCCTTTCTCCGCTGGAATCTTCTTCGCAGTCCTGGAAGGGTTCTGGGTTCTCCGGCCTTCCTGGACTCCTCCGATCGTCGCCTGGATGTTTCCCTGCGATCCTGGGCCTTCCTGGGGCTTCCACCCCCTTTGGAATGATCGGGCGGCCCCGCAGGACTCTGCGCGCCCGCGCTGGCAAGCCGAGGCTTGAATAAGCGGCGCGGAGCACAGCAGAAGGCAGGTGAGGTGAATTTAAATCGAAATCCTTGCTGAAGCTTTGCTGAAACTAAAAGAACTTGTCTTGTTTCCGAAGAGAAGGTGTGGGAGGAGTAACCATGGGTATTAACCAAATCTGCTTGCCTATTGGAGATTGAGGAAATCTTTGGAAGCCACACCCTCTGCTGATCCTGTGGCCACCCAGATTAACCTCAATCTCGGCCTGAACGGAGTGTTTTTTTCCTCTCTCCCTTCTATCCGAAATTCAGGAGTTTTTTTAGTTTCAGCAAAGCTTCAGCAAGGATTTCGATTTAAATTCACCTCACCTGCCTTCTGCTGTGCTCCGCGCCGCTTATTCAAGCCTTGGCTTGCCAGCGCGCGCGCAGACGCCTCTCTACTCTACATTATATTATATTACATTGTATTATATTACAGTATATTATATTATGTATATTATATTACATTATATTACATTATATTATATTACAGTATATTATATTATTTTGTATTATATTATATTATGTATATTATATTATATTACATTATATTATTGCAAATTTCAGGGATGCTCAAATTATATCACATAAGATCATGCTGCCCTTTGCATCACTGTCTTGATGTCCAATCTAAGTGTATGACAATGCTGTTTGCATGATAATGTTTGTGTGGTCATTTTTCCTCATTTGCCAACCCACTCCCAAGGCTGCCCATAAGTTTTTGCTTCATCATCATTTCAGATCCTTGGGGTGAATACAAGAGAGCCAGGCAAAGCCAGTGAGGATAATTCCATGCCCCCCTTTGCCCATTCAAAATCCATGTCTAGATATCTGAGAGTTCACTGGGCCTTTGACGCTTAATTAATTCTGGGATTGTTGTAGCTTTGAACCAGGTACGGTTTCCTACAATGGTTAGACCAAGCAGCTTTGTTCTTTACTAGCCTTAAAATGTTGCCTGGCACAGCGCCACTAAGCTGTCACCACAACCATAGCTAACTGGCTACATAGCTGGCCAGATAATTGTCTTCAATCATGGCTAGCCTTAACCATAACTAAATCTGCAACCATGTCCAGGGGTGGTTTTCACTTACCTTCCCTATCAGTTCATATCCACGCATACGCCCGGCTGGCCGCGCATGTACTTTGATCAAAAAATGTCCCTAAATAGGATGAAAAAGAGCCAGGGCAAGTAGATAGGCCCACCCACGATTTCCGCTATCAGTTCAGGAGAACCAGTCCAAACTAGCAGAATACCACCTCTGACCATGTCAAGCATTGATTTTCCCCTAGTTTTAAACTCTCTCTGCCATAGAGCCACTAAATTGTCTCCACAACCATGGCTAACCACATCCACAACCATGGTTAAACATATCCACAACCACAGCTAGTCACACCCATAACCATGGTTAACCATCTCTAAAGTCATGTATAGCCATGATAGCTAACTCTGCAACCATAGTTAGCCATCTTTGCAGCCAACCAGATGTAAATGTAAATTGTGATGTGTTGATGGTTTTCTTTCTTTCTAAATGGTTTTCTTTCTTTCTAAATGTTTAGACAACTGGAGTTTTCAGGGACTTTACTTTGGCTTCTGTTCACAGGTTATTAGCATCTACATGGGAATATCGGTCAATCTGGGAGAAGCCTGGGAGCCGTATAAGGCTGCCAAAACCGCCCTGAACTACACATTGGATCTTTCCAACGTTAAGGAGCAGGTAAGGAAATATGAGCTTAGCAGGGTAAGTGAAGTTAGGTTGGAATCTGATTTAAGTGTTTTCATTAAACTTATCAACTTGTGATCTTCTCATCAAATGCAGAGCTTTTTAAGGGCCTCTTACCTTTAAGGCTTTACTATCTTGTTACCCTTGGCAGCCTCAATTTGCACATATGTTGAGCTTTGTCAGGAAGGAGGGCATAGCAAATTTAAATGGGAAAGTGGAGGGATCTTCCTGTGACCGTAGAAGTACATCAGTTTAGTTTACTTTATTGTCATTGCACATCATGCAACAAAATTAAATGCCAACTTCAGTGTACATTATAACTAAAAAAATAAAAAAACAAAACACACATCCTTCACATTCTGTATAATTAAAATTGAAAACCCGATATTGCATTAATATTGCACCATACTGTAAAATTCAATATAGTTACTGCCCTGGGGTAGAAGCTGTTTTTCTGCCTATTTGTCCTTTTTTTTATTATCCTGGTACCGTCTGCCAGATGGTAATAGTTCAAAAAAAAGGGTGCCCAGGATGAGATGGATCTTTAAGAATAACTTTAAGAGAAAGTCATTAAAATGGCAGGGAGGAAGGAAGGTCTCAGCCCACCTTTTGAGGAAGAATAATANCCCAGATTGTTGTTGGGGGCAATATGCTGACTCTGTAAACCGCTTAGAGAGGGCTGAAAGCCCTATGAAGCAGTATATAAGTCTAACTGCTATTTTGGCTGAACACCCAGGCAGCTCGTTAAGAGTGCCCCCCCTCCCACAGCCACTGGGGAAAGGAAAAACCCAGCAAAAGGTGTTGGTTTATTATTCTGTTGTATTTGTTTGCTTTTCTGGTGTTATGGGAATCAAAATATAGTATAAAATATAATAGAAATATGGGAGCGTTACCCAGGTGGATGGGCACCAAGGTAAGTCTTCTGACAGTTGACCCAGAAACTAACCGCTGAATGTCACTTCTCTACTGTAATTATAAACTTCCTCCCAGACAGCTTCCGAAGGCTTTTCAATTTAAAGCAGGGGTCTCCAAAGTTTGCAACATTAAGACTAGTAGACTTCAACTTCCAGAGTTCCCCAGCCAGCCATGCTGTTAAGTTTGGAGACTCCTGATTTAAAGGGATGACATTTGTTTTTCTTCTTTGCCAAGTGATCTCCCAGCTGAAAAGTGAGTCCTGATTTTTTCCTTCTAACACCTCCCTCTTTCTTTCTTTTCTTCCTCTTTCTCTTTCCCTTCCCTCCCTCCCTCTCTTTCTGTCTTTCAGGCAAACCAGCAGAGTAAAAAGACTTTAAAAAGTTAAAAAAAAAAGGCTTCTGAGGATCGCAGGAGAGCCAGTTCGGAGGCGTGGCAGGCCTGGGTTGCTGCCGGTTCTAGCGACCCAGGCCACCAAGCTACTACTGCCCCTGCCAACCCACCACTGTCTTGCACATGCCCCCCCACATGCCCCCCCGCTCATGCACATGCAGCCCCATGTACGTGCCCTGCCCCCTGTGCATGCACACATGTGCCCCCTGCGTGCCCCCTACCTCTTGTGCATGCGCAGCAGAGACCTGAAGGCCAGCTGGCTAGCGGGAGGTGTGCACTCATGTGTGGTGGAGCTGAACTGGAGTGACAGCTTGCATGCCCACAGAGAGGGCACTGCATGCCACTGCTGGCATTCATGGCATAGGTTCACTATCACGGCTCTAGCTGTTTCCTCTTTTGACTCTGCACCTAGGTTCTGCCACTCCTTCTACTACAGAAATTCAGAAAAAGGTTCAAAATGGGCAGTATTAGTGGCAAAAAACACTGGATGCTTTTAGCTTTTTGTGAAAAAAGAAAATTAAAATGAGAATGAATGAATGAATGAATGAATGAATGGCACAAAACTGTAGACTGGGAAGGTGACGTGCTTTTGATGATGTTTTTCTATGGTCTG